TATATCTTTGTGTGTGTGTGTGAGGCATTAGAGGCTTCTATTCACTTTCACAATCAACCCGTTCCTCCTTCCATTATTATCCTGCTTGATATCCTTGTTTTCATGACATGAAAGTTCTCCCAGGAATCATTTGGTTCGATATATATGTGTCCATCACAAGCCATAGCCTCCACCCGAACCCATAATCAACACACATCATAACCCAGAGTCGTCACAAGCCAGACCCACCCACATATATGCTCTGAATTTACTCAACTACCACAGCCCAAAACAGAGCCACCATAAGTCTGACCCAACACAGGTTAGAGCCACCCACATATATACTCTGAATTCACACAACCACTATAGCTAACAACAGAGCCACCACAAGCCAGAGCCATCAACCCAATCCAATACCAACCACACAATAGCCACACTGTCCATTCGTTGTTCCTTCATGCTAGTTGGAACATGTAAATGAAAAACATGCAAGTTACTCATCCTCTATCAATTGTGTTTAGAGAAAATAATATTTTCATTTATTGCAGATGTGTGAAAAAATCATACTTGGAAAAAAATATTACACCCCATCGTGAGACAAGGTTTTAAATATGTGGCAAGTTCTTTCTATTACAAATTCGTTGATCAATCAACTATATAAATAGTTAAACAGAAGAAATATAACTGTGAAAGTTGGTTTCATTTCCAATCGATGCAATTTAACTGTTTCATTTCAGATGTAAATTTTATAATGCTCAATTTTATGCAGAACATAACATGCATACCTTTCAAATCTTTATTGTTATATAAAAAATACCACCATCATTGCCTTTTTAAAAGTGATAGACACCCTTCATGCATATATTTGTGATACCAATGTGTTGTAAGTGTGAATATCACACGTTATAATTTGATGAGTCCATTCATGCTAGTTGGAATATGTAAATGAAAAGCAAGCAAGATAGTCATCCTCTATCAATTGAGGTTAGAGAAAAAAAAAATATTTCTTGCAAATGTTTGAAAAAACCATACTAGGGAAAAAAAATATTACACCCTATTATGAGACAAGGTTTTAAATATGTGGCTAGTTCTTTCTATTGTACATTCACCGATCAATGTACTATATAAATGGTTATACAGAAGATATAGAATTGTGAAAGCTGGTTTCATTTCCAACAGATGCAATTTAACTGCTTTCATTTCAGATGTAAATTTTATAAGGCTCAATTCTCTACAACACATAACATGCATACCTTTCAAAACTTTATCATCATGTCAAACATACCACAATCATTGCCCTCTTAAAAGTGATATGTACTTTTCATGCATATATTTGTGATACCAAGGTGTTGTAAGTGTAAGTATCACACTTTGTGATTTGATGAGTCCATTCATTGACCATTCATGCTAGTTAGAATATGTAAATAAAAAATATGCAGGATAGTCATCCTCTATCAATTGAGGTTAGAGAAAATATAATATTTATTTCTTGAAGATGTTTGAAAAAACTATACTAGGAAAAAAATTATTACATCCCATCATGAGACAAAATTTTAAATATGTGGCTAGTTCTTTCTATTGTACATTCGTTGATCAATCTACAACATAAATAATTATACAGACAAATAGAACCGTGAAAGTTGGTTTAATTTCCAATTGAGACAATTTAACTCTTTCATTTCAGGGGTAAATTTTATAAGACTCAATTCCCTGCAGCACATTGCATGCAAACCTCTCAAATCTTTATTATTATGCAAACATACCACACTCATTACCCTCTTAAAAGTGATATACACATTTCATGCATATATTTGTGAGACAAATGTGTTGTAAGTATGAATATCACATTTTGTAATTTGATGAGTCCATTCATGCTAGTTGGAACATGTAAATGAAAAACATGCAAGATAGTTATCCTCTAGAGAATATCACACACTAAGCAAATTCACCAAGAAAATAATCGAAACCATTATGGCTAATAGAGCAATTCACCAAGCAAATCCACGACCGAAACCCATTAAGTAAATCCACCAAGAATACATAAGAAGATGCAAATCCACTAAGAAAAAATAGAAACCATTACAACTAACATAGAAATCTACCAAGCAAATCCGCCCAGCCGAAACCCATCAAGAAAAATCATAGGTGTCGGGGAATGAAGAAAAGAAGAGTAAAATTACCGAGCAAATGCGGGATAAGAACGAGTGGAACACAGAAGAATAACTGAGCAAATGCGGGATGAAGACGAGTGGGGCACAAGAGAAAACACGTGAGGGGAGCGGGTTAGGGCAGAAGACGCTAAGAGCATCCCGGAAAACATATCTTGAAAATATGCGGGCCCACATTTTCATTAAAACACGGAAAACCGCTGCGAGCCGAACCCGAGCGGTTGAGATAGCCCTAGTTCGCAGTCCATACTCCCTCTCGGCGCAACATCAAAGCTCGATCCCAATTCTCTACTGCTCATTGTCGATGCCAATTCTCGTCTCACCGCCCCGCGGCATTGGAGCGTTTCTCATCTCCCCACTGCTCGACATCGGCACATATCACCTGCTCGATCTCCACATATTGGTGCTGGTTCTGTTTCTTTTTTTTTGAGACTACCTCGAGAGGGTTTTTTTTTTTCTCTATTTTTCATCCTTGTAATCGATTCTATTGTTGCGACTATCATGGAGAATATCAATTTTAGCTAAAGGCTTTTTTTTTTTTTTTTTCTAGGTTCTCAGCATCTGTGCTCAGATTCCTTCCAAGTCTGCTTCGGTTAGATATTCTCTCATTTTTCTTTGTTTTTTGTTTACTATGGCACCTGGTTTCTTTCGTTTATTTTGATTTTTTTTTTATCTTTTTGATTTCTGATGTATTGGTTTGTAAGTTTCTCTGTTTGATCTTCTTTGCGGGCTGTTGCTGCTTCGGTGTTAATTATGTTCATTATAGCTTCTTGTTAGTATTCCTTAGGACATAAATAAGTATTTCATAATTTTCTTTATTTACTTCACATTACTTTAGTCATTTGCATTGTTTACATGAAAAAAAAAAATCACAAAAAATTATCTATTAATCATGACAACTACAACTACAAATTTTAAGTTGATTTAAACATTAGATAGATGAAATTCAAATCCAATAATGAAAGGATTATATGTTTATCTCTGAAAGGTTTCTTGTACGAGCCTTCATAAAATTTAATGTAAAATAAGGTGGGATTATATAAAATTTTACTATGACATTCGAGCAAATACTTATAAATTACAAATTATGAGAAGTTATGGTATTGGTATTAGTTCAATCTTCATTATATATAATTTGATTTTATTTCTTGAATCCTATACTGCTAATGAATTATTCTCTTTTCATCTCCTTGCAATTCATCTTCACTTCTCCTGATAGTTTGTACCTCTTGTTCTTAAAGCTATTTCACATGTGGATATTATGTCCACTATTAATGTTGAATATCAGTACATATTATTATGGGATGACATCCATGTCCGTGAATCACATCCCAAAAAATAGAGTGTCGGTGGAGAGAGAGAGGGAGAGAGAGAGGGAGAGGAGTGACCAATAATGAATAATAAAACATCGTTTCTATCGTGTCTTATTCATAAAATGATCTTTCTATTTATAAAGGAGATAGTATAGCATGATGTTGTTGTATTTTTGCCTTTATTTTAAAGGGGGTTGTACATGGTTTATTTAGTATTTTACTTGTATGAGTCTGTCACTCGGCTATTCTTTAGCTCAGTTGGTTGAGCCTTAATTGGCTTCAGGTTGGAAAGATCATCTTAGCTAGCTAGCTGAGATCTGCTTGATCGGTTGTGCCTGGTCGATATTGGTCAGTCGCTCGATATGACCCGAATTTTGATTATTGACTGCTGATGGGGAGCCTCTTGGCTTCCTTGGGATGATTGAAGATACTACGGAACTTGATCTTCTCTTGAATTGGATTTCTTATGAAAGTTGGCTTGAATACTCTTTTGTCTCTTTTCTAGTTGAGTGGCTCATTCTGGTGTTCTCTGGCCATATTTCTTCTGTCCCGTGTTTCAGTCGGCTGTGGCTCATCTTGTGTCTTACTAGTTTTGACTTAGTCGACTAAGTGGGCCTCACATTCTTCTATTATTGCATTAGATCTCCTTAGAATCATTGTTGACATTTTTTTTGATGTATAATATCTAACATCTAAACGTCAATTTTTATATGCCTGCCACCTTACCTAGACTAAAAAGGTGCATTTCACTTTCAACCCATTTTGGCTTTGTGCTGTGGATGGCGAATGAATTGTTGTTTTCTATTCTGGATTGATTTAGGTGATGATTTGATTGCTTGAAGAGTTGAAGTTAGGAAATTAATTTGAAAACAATGAAGTTATTTGATTTATTAGCTGGTTGTATTTAGTTTAACATCAACATTTTTTTTTGCCTTTTTCATGTGAAAGATTTACATACATACTACTTAATTTGTATGTATTTACATAGCTTGACCTAAACTTCAACTTTCGTTACTAGCAACATGGTAGGAAATATGATTTTTTTGTTATTTTCCTTTTGGAAGATTTACATGCATACCACTCAATCTATGATTTAAACACAATGAAATTTGTTTGATTTATTTGTTGGTTGGATTTAGTTTAACATGAGGTGTTGTTTTATTTATTTATGCCTTCTTCATCTCAAAGATTAACATACATACCACTCAATTCCTATGTATTTAAATATCTTGCACCTAAACTTCAATTTACATATCAAGCACCTAAACTTCAATATTCTTGTTACATGCATACCACTCAATCTATGATTTAAACACAATGAAATTTGTTTGATTTATTTGTTGGTTGGATTTAGTTTAACATCAAGAGTTGTTTTATTTATTTATTCATTTTTTCCTTCTTCATCTCGAAGATTAACATACATATCACTCAATTCCTATGTATTTAAATATCTTGCACCTAAACTTCAATTTACATATCAAGCACCTAAACTTCAATATTCTTGTTACATGCATACCACTCAATCTATGATTTAAACACAATGAAATTTGTTTGATTTATTTGTTGGTTGGATTTAGTTTAACATGAGGTGTTGTTTTATTTATTTATGCCTTCTTCATCTCAAAGATTAACATACATACCACTCAATTCCTATGTATTTAAATATCTTGCACCTAAACTTCAATTTACATATCAAGCACCTAAACTTCAATATTCTTGTTACATGCATACCACTCAATCTATGATTTAAACACAATGAAATTTGTTTGATTTATTTGTTGGTTGGATTTAGTTTAACATCAAGAGTTGTTTTATTTATTTATTCATTTTTTCCTTCTTCATCTCGAAGATTAACATACATATCACTCAATTCCTATGTATTTAAATATCTTGCACCTAAACTTCAATTTACATATCAAGCACCTAAACTTCAATATTCTTGTTACATGCATACCACTCAATCTATGATTTAAACACAATGAAATTTGTTTGATTTATTTGTTGGTTGGATTTAGTTTAACATCAAGAGTTGTTTTATTTATTTATTCATTTTTTCCTTCTTCATCTCGAAGATTAACATACATATCACTCAATTCCTATGTATTTAAATATCTTGCACCTAAACTTCAATTTACATATCATGCACCTAAACTTCAATATTCTTGTTAAATATAACGTGGAAAAACTGTAAACAAGAGCAAAGAAAATTAAAAGTTGAATGTGGACAATAAAATGAGATTTATTGTTTTTTAGAATAATTATATGTTTAGATTTATAATTTGGTTATGACACATTTTTTTCTGTTATGGGATTTACTTTTCTTAGATGTTATATTTATAATTTTGTTGTGATGCAGATTTTATCAAGTTAGTTGATACACTTAGTGTGTCTTATTCTTTCTCAATACTTAGCATGCTAATATATGGCTAAATGTGTTCTTATTTTAGCTTTAATGAAAATATTAAATTACGTTATTTGCATTGTTTATTACATTAGTTAGCCAACAAAAATGGAGAATTAAATATTAGATGAATCAATTCAACCTCATGTAGACGGAGAGCAAGTTTTTATTATTGAAATTGAAGAAGTGAACATTACTGAAAAACATAATCATGATAATGACAGAGAGAATGTTGGTGGTGGAGAGAACAATGATGATAGGGGTGATATGATGATAAAGGGGAAAATTATGATGAGGTGAGTGATGAGATTGGAAGTGGACTTGAGAGAAGAAAAAGAAGAGAATATTAATGAAATGAGATGAGTTTAAAGAAATAATTCTTTCTGATGGTCAGAGAAAAAGGGAATGTAAGCATTGCAAAAAGAGTTTGCTATTGGAAGTACTGACACAACAACTCAATTTTAGAGACATTTTGAGTGGCGTGCAACCAAAATTCAAGCTATAAGGAAACAAAAATTATTGTATTTTCAATCTGTTGATGCTAAAGAAGGAAGCAATGCCCAATCAGGCTTTGAAGGAGCTGTTTTGACAACTTTAAATGTGATAAAAGTAAAGTTAGAGAAATGATGTATATTATATTTTGATAAATGAAATGCCTTTCTTGATTGTTGAAGTATGATTTTAATTTGCTTTTGATTGTCTTCATACTTTACAAAATATTCATAGACAACTGCTCACATAGATGTCATGTTGGTGTATGAAATGGAGAAGGAGAAGCTAAGGGACATGTTAAAAATATCCGTAGAATAAGTTTCACGATTAATTTCAGAAAATATAAAATCCAAAGAATATCTAGTATGATTTTCTCTGAGCATTGTGTTGATTCAAATTTGAGATTACAAAAGCGTGCTCTTAATTTTCTACACTTGCCGTCTCAACCACGACATCTGAAGTAGTTGACATTTTATTAAGCTCTTTTTGATTGCGTAGTTGAGAATAAGATATTTACAATATCAATAGATAATTCCTCTGATATTAATAGAGCAATCAAGTTATTGAAGGATAGTTTCAGGATGAAGAAGTTATTCTTTAGGGGTAGGCTTTTCCATGTTCATTGTTGTGCACATACTCAAAATTTGACGGTGAAAGATGTGATTAAATGTATTGATTCTGTGGTTTACAAGATTCAGGACACAGTAAGTTTTGTAAATTATTCTGAATCCAACTTGATAAGATTTGTTCATGTTGTTCAACAACTACAATTGGTCTCAAGAAAATTTATGATGGATTGTCCTACAAGGTTGAATTCTACCTATTTCATGTTGAATGTTGCATTACACCTAATTGAAACATTCTTTTATATGGAGAAATAGAAATTTTGTATGTTAATTGCCCCACTGAGGTGGAATGGAATAAAATTGAAAAGGTTTGTGATGTCATTGGTTTCTTTAATGAAGCAACTAATACATTTTTAGGGACAAAGCAATCATCTTCTAATTTATTTATTTCACAAAATTGTACAATTAAGAATGTGTTAGTTGAGAAATCAATTTTCTCTGATTGTTTAATTAAAGAAATGAGAAAAAAAGATAAAATAAAAAATTGACAAGTGTTTGAGTGAATTTAATTAGCTCATTGGCTTTGGAGCAATCATAGATCCTAGAATGAAGTTTGCAGTTATTGAATTTGTATATCCAAAAGTTTACAATAGTGCTGAAAGTATGAGAAATATCTCACATATTCAAAGCTTGTTGTATGAGTTTTATATAGAATATGTTAATTTTGTTGATTATAAGATTGATGGTGTTGGTGACAAATTTAGAGCTAAAACTTCAAACACAAATAATTCCAACAAGGGTGCACGAGCAAGCAAAACAA